GGATTCGAACCCGCCACCTTAGGTGTATGTGGCTGGCACCTTAGCCGCTTGAGCCACAGGCGCCGAGCCGGATATCTTGGTATTACTAAAAGTGCAGACAATAACATTAGCAAATAGTACAGGGATTCTATAAGATAGCTTCTTATGCTAGTGAAATACACCTATAAAAGGATGGCCTACTCATGGTGCTGACACAACCAACTCTATATCTAGAAGAAAATTAAGTTGGACCCTTATTTTATACTGTATATGTATATTAACAAATTCTGGACAAACTTAAAGACTTAATTGTGAAAAATGAAACCATAAAAATCCTTCAAATATTGGTGGTGCCTGTGGTTCAAAGGAGTAGGGTGCCGGCCCCAATACCAGAGGTGGCAGGTTCAAACCCCACCCCAGCTAAAAACTGCAAAAAAATCCTTCAAATAGGCCATGTATGGTGGCTCACGCCTGGAATTCTGGCACTCTGGGAGGCCAAGGCAGGTGGATTGCTTGAGCTCACAAGTTTGAGACCAGCCTGAACAAAAACAAGATCCTGTCTCTACTAAAAATAGAAAAACTGAGGCAAGAGGATCACTTGAGCCCAAGAGTTGGAGATTGCTGTGAGCTATGGTACCACGGCACTCTACCAAGAGCAACAACTTGAGACTCTGTCTACAAAAAAAAGAAAAGAATGTCAAAACAGAAAAAGGACCAGAGTTCTTGTAAATAAAGACAACGTAATGGAAAAATGGGTAGGTCTGAATAGACAGTTTATAGAAGAACAAATCCAAAATACTAAATATGGGTGGGTATGGTGGCTCACGCTGTAATCCTAGCACTCTGAGAGGCCAAAGCAGACAGATTGCTTGAGAGCAGCCTGAGCAAGAGCGAGACCCTGTCTCTACCTAAAATGAGAGAGATGTAGTGGTGAGCGCCTGTAGTCCCAGCTGCTTGGGAGGCCGAGGCAAGAGGATTGCTCAAAACCCAGAGTTTGAGGTTGCTGTGAGCTACGATGATGCCATGCCATGGCACTCTACCCAGGACAGTGAAGTGAGACTCCATTTCAAAATAGTGAACTTTTGAAAAGAAGAGACCTAAGGGAAGCAAAAATGGCCTGTAAAAGATGGCCTATACACATGAAATTATACCAGTCAGGGAAATGTAAGTTAAATAAAGGAGACTGACAAAAATTAAATTTTCATAACATCATGTATTAGAGAAAATGAAGAGAAAGTACTCTAATGTACTCCTGATGAGAAATTAGAACAGATAATCTGGAGGACAATTGGTAGTATCTCTTCATTCATTTATTTATTTTTGAGAAAGAGTCTCACTGTGTTGTTGTAGGTAGAGTGAGGTGGTGTCACAGGTCATAGCAACCTCAAACTCTAGGGCTTAAGTGATTCTCTTGCCTCAGTCTCCCACATAGCTGGTACTACAGGTGCTTGCCACAACGCCCAGCTATTTTTAGAGACGGGGTCTTGCTCTGGCTCAGTCTGGTCTGGAATTCCTGAGCTCAAGCAATCCACCCACCTTGGCCTCCCAGAGTGCTAAGATTACAGGTATGAGCCACCTTGCCTGGCCACTCTGTGGTATTTTATTCAAGAGGAATGAAACATGTCAACAAAAAAAGCGTGGCATAGCAGCTAACCCTAGAAACAGCCCAAGAATCCTAGCACTCTGGGAGGCTGAGGCCAACGCCTGAGCTCATGAGTTTGAGACCAGCCTGAGCCAGAGAGAGACCTCATCTCTTAAAAAAAAAAAAAATAGCCAGGTGTTGTGGCACGTGCTTGTAGTCTCAGCTGCTTTGGAAGCTGAGACAAGAGGGAAAAAAAGAAAGAAAGAAACAGCCCAAGAGAAGGAATAAACAAATTGTGGTTATAATTATATAGTGGAATATGCCCCACACTGTGAAGGAACAAAACCACCACTAGGCAGTAGCATGGATGAACCTCAAAAATACCCTGAATATCAGACACTAAAGTACATACTCTATGACATTGTTACATGAAGTTCTAGAAGGATAACTGATACATGGTGACAAAAATCAGACAATAGTTGCTTAGAAGTTTGACCAGGAGGGGCATGAGAGAACTTTCCGAGGCAGTAGAAATATTCTATATCTTGGCTCAATTCCTGTAGCTCAGTGGCTAGGGTGCCAGTCACGTTACTGTACGCTGGAGCTGGCAGGTTTGAATCCAGCCTGGACCTGCCAAACAACAATGACAACTGCAACTAAAAAAAATAGCTGAGTGTTGTGGCGGGTACCTATAGTCCTGACTACTTGGGAGGCTGAGGCTAGAGAACCGCTTAAGCCCCAAATTTTTAGGTTGCTGTGAGCCGTGACACAACGGCACTCTACCGAGGGTGACATAGTAAAATTCTGTCTCAAAAAAAAAGAAAGATCTGTGCATTTGCTGTGTGTAGGTGATACCTTAATATATAAAATAAAGGGGAAAAGATAACCAGGGAAAGTTACTGAAGTACCTAGTTTTTCTAATGTTGCTTCTTTAATGCTTACATTCAGAGAGGCTGCTCGAGAATGTCGCAGAAAGAAGAAAGAATATGTGAAATGTCTGGAAAATCGAGTTGCAGTCCTGGAAAATCAAAATAAGACTCTCATAGAAGAATTAAAAACTTTGAAGGATCTTTATTCCCATAAAAGTGTTTGATTCTTAACAAAAAAAATATTTTTGTGTGGACTTGTTTAAAATTAAATGTATTTGTTTTTAGTGGAGTTTTATAAATTACAAAAAAAAGGTCAAAAGTGAAGCTTTTTATTTAGGCTTTTGCCATTCAAAGAAAGAAAAGATACCTTGCAACATACCTTGTGACAGAGGATAATGTGGAAAGTGACCTTAAGGAAGCTACTGGCACAACTGGAAGCTTTGTAAAAATTAAACATACTCAAGAAGCAAGAGATGAACTTGCAGCAATTTGAATTTTCTAAGTAACAATAATCATCAGTCCAAAGACGGCAGATGAAGATGAAATTTGGTGAATTGGATTTAAAAAATAAATCAGTTTACCCTGTGGTTTGCATTTCTTAATGTTTTTCTGAAATTGACCTTTTTCGGTTGTGCGTGTATTTTATTTCTGCCAATTCTAAATTACAAAGGTAAAAGGAAATCTCACACATGACTAAATATATAAATTATGTGTTCTGATTGTGTATGCTGGTTCTATTGTCAGGTCTTTTAAATGGGTTTTTAAAAGTTTGTGTGTTGGACTTGAGAGAGTTTTTGGAGGCTGAGTTACGTATTATTGAGGTCTTGTCCTAAAAGGCATCTAAGACACATGAATGGAAATTTGGTGATTTTTGTAACATTTTTTTATCAGAATGGAAAGAGAACTGTTTAAAAGTTTGATACTCTTAAATAGTTTGTTTTTTGCTTATTCTGATAATGGTGATTTTCTACAACTATATAATAAATTTTTTTGATTCTATATATTCTGTATGCAGTTGAGTATCTATCACTTATCCTGTTGTGCTTTAACAGAATGGAATGTTTACAGGTCCTTGAAATATTTTTTAAGAACTTTTTGAAGACACATACCAAAGTTTTTCCAAGAGGATTTTATAAACAATTTAATATAAGGTTTATCAGATTCTAAAATAGTATCATTATTAAGGCAATTTTATCTTAGAGACTATTTTGTAATGTAGTGCATGGTACCTTTATAAGAAAAGTGACTGCCAATATATTTTTATAGCTAATCTTTATAAATTCTAATGTTGAGTTTTTGATTATTTTAAATGTTTATATAGTTCAATAAAAAAAGTTTTTGCATTACAAAATATCAGTTTTGTATTATGGGAAGTAAAGTTTTCAGATTGGCTCTCATTTGAATTGTAAATTTTGTATACAGTTTATCCAGAGTTCAAAATTGCTAACAGTACATCAGTGTTTAACCTCTGTATTCCAATTTTTATACACTTTGAAATTGTACTGCAACTTATACAATATGTATCATATTGTTGTCTATGAAATTAAAAAACATTCGATAAAATTAAGTTTGTTGAATGTAAAATGTAATCTTGATATATGAATGACAAGCTTGCTGATAGCCATGCTGTTAATTATGCTAAATATATTGCATTTCTGGGTTTAACATGAGGATAACTTTACAGTTCTGGTCTATACAATTAGACATACTTTAAAGAAGGATCTATTTATATGTTTTGATTGAATCAGAACCAATTACAATAAAATAAGATAGCTAAATTTTCTGTTCTGTGTTTGTGACATGGTTAAAGATGTAAATCTTTACCTAATAAATTTGTGGCTGACCCTCCTGATGAGATTTTTTTTATGAAAAGACTCTTATTAAATGAAAAGAAAAAAGTTTGATCACCACAGGATTTATTTATATCACTTCTTACCATGTGTAAAGCCAGATGCTCAAACTTAAATATAAGGAGGTTTGGAGTCACTGGGTTAAGTTAAAGAGTGTGGTTTTTTTTTCTTTTGGTTTAGAATCAGAATCTTGCTCTGTTGCCCAAGCTCGAGTGCAGTAGTGTAATTATAGCTCACTGGAGCCTTAAATTCCTGGGCTCGAGTGATCCTTCTACCTCAGCCTCCCAAATAGGTAGGACTACAGGCATGTGCCACCAGGCCTGGCTAATTTTTAAAAATGTAGAGATGTGGGTCTCACTGTATTGCTGAAGTTAGTCTCATACTCCTGGTGTCAAGCAGTCCTCTCACTCCAGCCTTCCAAAGTGCTGGGATTAGGGGCATGAGCCATCATCACACCCATCCCAAAAGTGTTTTACCAGATAATATGTTGGGTAGATGTTATGCTTGGTGCAGCAGAGGTAGCTGAGCTCTTAGTGGCACACTACCTGGACATGTGTGAATATTCATAAATTCTGCTGCCTGCAGATTTCAGTGTGGTTACTTTAGCTATATGTAACAGGCCTGGGCAAAATACTGATGGTTCCATAGATGGATACCAAATTATTTTCCTGGATGTTCTAATTAGAATGCAACATGGGGCTTAGCAAAAAAGAATTTTTTTTTTTTTAAATCACTGTCTCACTCTGGTGCCCTGGGTGGAGTCCAGTCGTCATAGCTTACAGCAATCTCAAACTTCTGGGCTCAAACTACCCTCATGCCTCAGCCTGCCTACTAACTAGGACTATAAGCATGCACTACCTTCGCCTGGCTAGTAGAGATGGGGTCTTGCCATGTTGCCCAGCTTGGTCTTGACCACCTGGCTTCAAGCAATCCCCCTGCCTCAGCCTCCTGAAGTGCCAAGATTACAGGCACAAAATTTTAAGATGATTGTAATCCAAACATGAAATTATAATCCAAAAATGCAACAGACCATTGAAATACCTCAGTCCAACTTACTATTTTACATAATAAACATCACTTTATTCATTCATATTATACTAATGGAAATGGATTATTGTCCCCAAACACATCTAAGAATGGGCATTTCTTACAGCTTTGGAAATCTTAACTGTATTCGTTTATTTATTCATCAATTATTGTAGTTAATGGGTTAAACCTGCATTTTTCTCCAGTTGAAATACGTGAACATGGCTCGGCGCCTGTGGTTCAAGTGGCTAAGGCGCCAGCCACATATACCTAAGGTGGCGGGTTCGAATACAGCCCGGGCCCGCCAAACAACGACAGCTGTAACCAAAAAATAGCCAGGTGTTGTGGCGGGGCTCCTGTAGTTCCAGCTACTTGGGAGACTGAAGCAGGAGACTCACTTGGGCCCAGGAGT